CCTCGCTCAGGACGCGCGCTGGCCGCGCGCAGGACGCGGGCTGGCCACGCGCAGGACGCGGGCTGGCCGCGCCCTGGACGCGTGCTGGACGCGCGCGGCCAGAAGAAAAAAAAAAAGAATTTATTTTATTTTTTTAATCTTTGTCTTTTTTGTTTGCAGGATAGTTTTGATCTTCCACAAGATTACTTTTCGAAGCTTCCAGGCGATCTTCGTCTCGAAGTAAGAATTTCTTTCTGTGTTTCTTTTAAGTTTGTGACTTACTGTTCTGTTAAACTTCTAAAAACACGGCGTGTCGTTTTTCTAGAGCTAGGACGACGGTGCATCGTTTTAAATTGAGATGTCATTATAGAAATACGACGGGATTCTTTTTAAACAACGGCCTGGTTATTTACTTTTCTATAAACGTCATATCGTTTCGTCGACGTGAACGACAGATAAATTCTAGATTATAACGACGCGTTTTAATGAATAGAGTACAAACCAACCACAAGTTGCTCGTTACTTTATCAAGCAATACGACAGCGACGCTTACCCCTTGAACGACAAAACTTATTGTATTATTATCACTGACACCCTTGAATTTTAGGGTTATTTTCTATTTGTCACTTAAATTTTAAAATTTCTCACTTTACTTCTTAAATTTTTAGATTAGTCTCATTTAAATTTTTTTATACAAATTTCTGTTAAGATCAGACTGGAGAAAGAGGATTAAGTATGGTCATATAATTTTTATCCATTTACTTTTAACAAATATTCAAAAAGAAAAAGTATGAGACTGCATTACTCATTTCTTTTTCTAATATTTTTAACAGAAATTTCAACAGAAAGGGTTAAGTGGAAATAATTCAAGATTCATGTAATAAAATAAGAGTTTTTAAAATTTAGATGAAAATGACTTTAAAATTTAAAAGTATTGGTTAACTTATTTAATAGTAAATAATAGCCAACTTAAAGGTAAATGACATGTTGTTCTGTTTGTGCCTTTGATGTTTTTTGTTTTGATGAGACAGTTATGGTAAATGCTTCTGCGCTTTTTTTTTTTTTTTTGGTTCTGAAGCTTAATGATGCAGCGTTTGATCTTTCAAATGGACCGGTCCTTGATGAGGTATGTGTTCCTCATCCTCTGCCCTATTAATCTGATTAATTAGCTACAGTACATTTCCAACCACATGAAAATTACGTTTTTTTTTTTTTTTTTTCCCCTGTTACAATTACACTTATACAGAAATAAGAAATCAATTTCTTTGGGTTTTGTTTTTCAGTGTGGTCGAGAGCTGGGAGAGACACTGTTAAACCTCTCTAGAGCATGGGAACTTGCTGATACATCAACTTCCTATACTTTAATTAGCAAGCTCCCTAAGTTAGAGGCGTCTTTAACAGACAATGCCAAATCAGGCAAGCCCATAAAAACCTTTTGCACAATATTCTGCTAAGACATATTTAACATTTTGGATTGTTTGAGCTTATTTATTAGTTGTTGGTTTAGCACTTGGAAAGCGCTTGGTTTCTGCTGGAAGAAGGTTCCAGGCCGTGGGGCAGTACGGCCAAGGTGAGCTACAAAAGGTATGTATGTACCATTCCTACATTGTTACCGCTAAAATATAAAACTATTGTTAGCCCAGCTCCTAAAAGCTTGAGGTTTTTGAGAGAATTGGTAAATTAAGATAGTAGCAAAGCAGGAGGTATTGAATTCAAACTTGTAATTCTGCAGATTCTGTGTAAGTGAAATCCATGAGAGTGACTTATTTTTACACTGGCCGTCAACCTACCGCAACCCTCCTCCTTTATCCAGGCTTGGGACCGGCTATACAAATGCATAGGCGGAGTTAAGAGACAACATATATGTAAGATGAATGTGGCAGAAATGCGTATGTTAAGATGGATGAGTGGCCATACGAGAATAGATCGCATAAAGAATGAAGTTATTTGTAGTAAAGTGGGTGTAGCACCAATAGAAGATAAGGTGTGCGAAGGCCGCTTGAGGTGGTACGGGCATATCTAACATAGACCGCTAGAAGCACGAGTTCGTGCTTGGGAGGACATTCTTATACCTAATACTAGGAGAGGGAGGGGTAAACTAAGAATTGCGTGGACCGAAGTAGTTAGGAATGACATTCTAGATCTAGGCCTTTAGGAAAGTCTAATTTCGAATAGAGCTGCGTGAAAAAGTGAAATGCATATAGCTGACCCCAATTAAGTTGGGATTAAGGCTTGTTGTTGTGGTTGTAATTTTGGTCTCTCCAAGCATATTTTGTTTCGGGTTTATAATTAAATATTCAGATGTTGTTAACTCTAGTGTTAAATTCCTGAACTCAACTTTTTTTTTAGTATTTCACTATACAGTTTTCTTTTGATCTTTTCGTTCAACTTTAATATGACCAGGAGTTCTTTATCTAGATATTGAAGTAATGTTATGTTGGACCATTTAATGAATGTAGATTGCAAAAGCGATGATTGCAACAGGGAGGCGTCTATCTGCTACTTCAATATCCACGGTGCCTGACGAAGAGCCAAAGACGGAAACCAGGATGTTTAAGGTTAGTTCATGACCAGTTGCTGCAAATTACAGCCACAAAAAGAAATGCAGTTAACATGAAACTTAACAAAATGAGTTCGCATTGCAAAAACTGCAGTTTGGGGATCTTCAAGTCGAACTAACATCAGTTAAAGCCAACATTGGCGCCGTCATCAGTATTGTTTTCGGGTAATAACTGTTCCTTAATTAACTGCAAAGAGCCATATAACAGAAAAAACTATATTAACTTCCTCAAAATCCGAAATGTAGGATACTTTCATGGGAAGTAGCTCAGGGAATCCAAAGCATTCCAGAGAGTGAGTTGCAATATGCAAACGACAATGCATTGTTGCTGGCTAAGGTACTGCTTACAGAAACTAAATCAAATATTTTCCTTATTCCCTGTTAATAACTAACACCCCGTCCTAAAATCTGGAATCTTGTCGTTGCAGTCTTTGAGAGGAGCTCTACTTGCATTATTCTATTCATCAACGTTTTTGTCTGCTTTTACCTCAGTGGGACTCTTCTTACTAGCAAGGCAACTCAAGTCAAAAAAAGACTGAGATTTGATTTCACCATCCTTAAAAAAAAGTTTATCTACACTGACTAGGATCCCTATGTGAAATTAACGATGTTTGATAACACTACAAATGTGATCAACTGCTTGTATAGAAATAAAGACCACATTATAGTCAGAATGTTCATGACAATGAACAAATTGATCAAAACAGAATCCTAAAAACTCTTTGTTTTTTGGTTTTAAAAAAAGTACCAAAAGTCTACTCAAATCCCAAGTTTGATATAGGACGTGGAGGAACTTAATTAGTTCAAAGATATAAAATTTGGTGCTGACATAGTAGTTTTGTCAATTAACTAAGTGAACAGTAGTGTCTATAATTGATGCCTTTTTATATTATTTTGGAACGATTCCTGCAACTTGTGCATCGTTAGTTATTGATGGCTCCCTTAGAATTAAGAATTGGGATTTCCTCAATGCTATGTTTGGTAGGATGGATAGAAAAGAGAAAGTAAAAAGAAGTAAAATACCTAGGTGAAGGAAGTAAAATGATTTTCTCTCATGTTGTTTAGTAGAAGAGAAAGAAAAATGAAAAGAAAATGTCAAATTTTAAGGTATTTTACAATAATACCTCAATACAAATAAAAATATGATGAATGATGAAGGTTAAAATTATTATTTTATATCTCTTTTTTTTTTGTTAAACTTTTTCCCTCATCTTTTCTTCCCAAAGTTGTAAGGATTAAAAATTGGTGGGCCATGGATTTTTATTTTCCTTCTTTCCTCATTTCCCCTCTACCAAACAATTTAAAATTCTATTTTCTTCTACAAAATCCTTCCTCTATTTTCTTTCCTCTCTCTTTTCCACCCTACCAAACAAAAAGTTAAAGTACATATCTATATGTGTTTATTTTGCGTTTAGTTGACTGTTTTTAAAGGATTTAAATCAGATTCTAATTATAGTGTCTTAATTGATACATAACTAACCGAATTGTGATACATCACTTAAAAAAAATTAAAATATCTTTTAACTAGCTTTTCAATGATTTAATTTTTAGATCTATTAAGTGACGTTTTATAAGTTGTTAGACACTAATTAAGACACTAAAAATTAGACATGTGATTTGAGTCCCTTTTTACACAGTAATATATACTTGGCACACTTTATCAACAATTAGGATCTTTATTCTAGTCCTCGACCAACTTGCCACACTTATCAACAACTTAAGCGATATGATATTTTACCGTAGTGCTCAACATCAACTTACTCATTGAAAATGAAATCCATGCATAATGTTCTTAAATATGCGTATGAGAGAGAGAGAAATCTGATTTTAACCCAATAAAAATATGATTCCATTAATGGATTTTCTAACAGAGAAGGTTTACGGATGTCATTTTCCTAATGCCATCATGATTGTGAAATCAGAACTCTGCGACAACGAGACTTTAACATTTGCTTAGCCACTTATATATTTCACATTAACCACTTTTCAACTTCTTAATAGAACATGCGTATGAATAACTATTATTGCAGTCTCAATCTGAAAGTTCATTGAAGTGTAAGTATCTATTGCTAATTACATTATTATATTAAGAAAAGACTGATAAATTGTGTTACAAAAACTTGTTTTAGGGTTTGAATGACTCCAGCTTCCCCTGAGGGGGCATCTTCTTTGCTTCTTTTTTTTAACCCTTTGGAATAAATTAAATCAAAATTCCTGATATTCTTTGCATTCTTTTTGTCGCTACGTTCCATACAATATATGTGCTGCGCACTCTAATTTAATTTTAAAAGACTTGTCGGCAAGTGAGAAGTAAATTAAAAACGACGGGTGAGATTTACAGAGTAGAATCACTCATAATTTATAAAGAAACATTAGGAAAGTTGTAAACTTTTAAATAAATAGTTAGATACTTGTTTAATACGGTCGAATCAATTTTTCTCAAATCTGGTAGATAATATATATATATATATATATATATATATATCTGTAGACGTATTTTTTAATGCGAAATATGGAACCCCCTTTGCCAATAATTTACAAATAACGCAATTATGTGTAAGTCTAGATTCTTCCGTAGAAGTGTGGTCCTATATAGTGATGTAATGCTTGTTGTTTTAATTGTAACATCTCTTACTGATTTATTAATTAAAGATCCATTTTCAATAATTTCCCTTAGCTCTCTTACGACATCGAAAGGAAAAAAAGAAATGGTATCAAGTAAGATGGTTAATTTGTTAATTAGGTTTGACTTTTGGAGAAAGACCCGAATTTTTCTCAAATCTGGTAGATAATATATATATATATATATATATATATATCTGTAGACGTATTTTTTAATGCGAAATATGGAACCCCCTTTGCCAATAATTTACAAATAACGCAATTATGTGTAAGTCTAGATTCTTCCGTAGAAGTGTGGTCCTATATAGTGATGTAATGCTTGTTGTTTTAATTGTAACATCTCTTACTGATTTATTAATTAAAGATCCATTTTCAATAATTTCCCTTAGCTCTCTTACGACATCGAAAGGAAAAAAAGAAATGGTATCAAGTAAGATGGTTAATTTGTTAATTAGGTTTGACTTTTGGAGAAAGACCCGTTCTCTCCTTAATTAATTCTGTAAAGAATGGAATAATATTATTTTATTTTTATGCATTTCCTTTGAGAACTAGTTTGTTTTCCGCTCAAGTAATAAGCTGCAGGCATTAACATTCTAATGTATTCTAATTAAGAAAATGATAAAAGGTTGGCTAATTAACTACTAAACCAAATTATAAATAGTTTATTTGCGCATAATCTGTCTTTGAGTTCCCTCCCTGAAGGTAGACCTCGATATATATTTATTTATAGTTAATTAAAGTCCATATAAACTAAGATCATGACATGATTAGTCATTAATAATGTTGTAAAGCCCTTAATCCTTGTTATATATTGTGACATGATGTTTGGAGTGAGAACTTGGAAACTTAATTAAGAGGATATCAGGCATGGACATGTAATCAACTTTTAGCAGATATATAGTTCAATATTATTTTTTGAATCATCAATCATTGACGTTTATTTAATTATCAAATATTGCTCCTCAGTATAAATATATGTATATGTGCATGTCCACCTCAAGGTCGCGCACACACATATATATTTTAGACGGTTAATAATTAATTCTTCAAAATAAACTCTTTCTGATGATGAAATCATTAAGCATTATATCCCGGCCGGTAACAAAATAGAAGCAAGTACCAGACAAACTTTTTACGGTTAGTAGCTTGGGGTTGTTCTTTTAGAGTGTGACTTGAGTGTAGTTTTTGAGTTGAATTTGAGTTATAACTTGAGTTAAAGTTGTAACTTGAATAAAGTTTAATAAAGTTGAAAATAAAGTTGGAACTTAAAAGAACGTGAATTTAAATAAAGTTGTAACTTGAGTTTAAATTTTTTCTGAATATTGCATGCAAAAAGTGATTATAGCCTGAAAATGGTTGTGGCCCTAGCTAAAAGCAATAAACCTTTAACTCGTTACAATTCTCAAAACCATTCAAATATCATTTGTCTCCATGCATGATTGCTAGGACATTATGGATGACATAGGATACGCTGAGAGGACTTAAATTCTTCATATATGTGTGTGTGAAGTTCCTTATTGTTATATATATATATATATATATATATATATATATATATTGGGATTCCTGATCTTGTTGTCTTATATAATTTGTATACAAGTGTAACTGGTAGGATGAATTTTCCATCGTTTGAAAACCTGGCTGCCAATATTTTATAGAACGACCTATATCTTGCCAAACACTTGGTACTATATTAGCATTGATCATATACTTGGGGGAACAAGAGAAATGTTCGTAGTTACTAATCAATTCTTATTAGCGCTAATGAAAAGCCACATGAAACCCAGGTGTTTAGCAAATATAATTGTCAACGTTTAAGCAAAGGTTAACTAACATTAATCACATATATTCTTTTTCATTTCCTCATATTTAATCTCAAATCATACGGCGTCGAATATAGGCAGCATCAACATCGTTATTTTGGGTATGCTCGAGCATGAATATGGAGGGGGGGGGGAAAAAAGGTAGAGAGTATAGAAAAAGACAGAAAAATAATTATATAACTACGATCACTTCATTTATTTATTTATTTATTTTCCAAATGATCACTGCATCTGATACTAACCAATTACGGTTTAAATCAAAATATATATACAGTAATAGAATGAGTCTCATACGTAACTAATTAGCTCAAAAAAATTACTTAAACTTTATATTTTGGGGTATTTATTTTAACAATTAAGAACACACTAAATAAAAGCATAATGTTATGCATTGCCCATTAGTGACCATTGATTTTAACTAAATATCTGTACTCCGTTAGAATATTTCAGAAATATATATGTGATGGGATAAATAGTTTTATGAATAAATTTGGATCGGATTGAATTAGAAAATGAAAAGATTAAAACTTACCCCTTTCATCACCGTTTTCTGGAAAATGTGAACTATGAATATGAATAAAATCAAAGGTAATTTGCATAAGAGTCAACGCAGTAATATTATAAACATATAATAATCATTTTCCCCAAAAAAAGAATATGACGAATGACATATTTTTATGTATTTATCAATATTGATGCATTATTATATATGTATTTTGTGACTGCAGAAAAGAAGAATCACATGAAAAGAAAAAAAGGATAATAAGAGTCTCACGAGGAAAAAAATTGAAAATTAAATATTTTACTGTTTATGTGACAATTTTGTCATATTTCTACGTGATTATATTCTTTTGAAATTACATGATTGAATTAAGTTGTGGTATTTTTTTTATTCGTATAAGGTCATTTTCGTTTTTATCTTGTGTCCATCATCCACCCTACGATCCTCTTGGCTGAACACCCCATATTATTCACAAGCTTTCCTTGCATTTCCAAGTCCACACACATACACCAATCTCTTGTTGGTCTTTATATATACTTTGAACTACAAGAATCTCTTCCTCACTCTCTCTCTCTCTCTCTCTCTCTAAACTCTTCCATCACCACCACCACCACCACCACAATGGCCTCTCTCACCTGCACGGCCTCCGACCTCTCCGCCCTTCTCACCGCCACAACCAACTCCACGGCCGCGGCGGAGTTCCTCTGCTCCCGTTTCAACGCCGTGTCCGACAAGCTCACCGCCACCACCTACGCCGTCGACAACACCTACCTCCTCTTCTCCGCCTACCTCGTCTTCTCCATGCAGCTCGGCTTCGCCATGCTCTGCGCCGGCTCCGTCCGCGCCAAGAACAGCATGAACATCATGCTCACTAACGTCCTCGACGCCGCCGCCGGTGGGCTTTCGTACTACCTCTTCGGCTTCGCCTTCGCCTTCGGCTCCCCCCCCAACGGCTTCATCGGCCGCCACTTCTTCGGCCTCAAGACCTTCCCCTCCCACTCCGCTGACTACAGCTTCTTCCTCTACCAGTGGGCCTTCGCCATCGCCGCAGCCGGCATCACCAGCGGCTCCATCGCCGAACGCACCCAGTTCGTCGCCTACCTCATCTACTCCTCCTTCCTCACTGGCTTTGTCTACCCCATCGTCTCCCACTGGTTCTGGTCCCCCGACGGCTGGGCCAGCCCGTCCCGACCCGATAACGATCTCCTCTTTGGCTCCGGAGTCATCGACTTCGCCGGATCTGGCGTTGTCCACATGGTTGGCGGCATAGCCGGATTATGGGGCGCATTCATCGAAGGCCCAAGACTCGGCCGCTTCGACCATACGGGTAGGTCCGTGGCTCTACGCGGTCACAGCGCGTCGCTCGTGGTCCTCGGCTCTTTTCTACTCTGGTTCGGTTGGTACGGTTTCAACCCCGGTTCGTTCATCACAATCCTGAAAAGCTACGGTGACGGTGAACGCGTTTACTACGGTCAGTGGAGCGGAGTGGGACGGACAGCTGTCACGACCACATTGGCTGGATGCACAGCCGCGCTCACGACCTTATTCGGGAAAAGACTGCTCGTCGGTCACTGGAACGTAACCGACGTCTGTAACGGCCTCCTCGGGGGATTCGCCGCGATAACCTCGGGATGCTCGGTGGTCGAGCCGTGGGCGGCGATCGTCTGCGGCTTCGTCGCCGCGTGGGTTCTAATCACGTCCAACAAGCTGGCGGAGTTGGTGAAGTACGACGACCCGCTAGAGGCGGCGCAGTTGCACGGCGGGTGCGGCGCGTGGGGTTTGCTGTTCACCGGCCTCTTCGCGACGAAGGAATACGTGGGGGAGGTGTACGGCGGAGATGACAGGCCGTACGGGCTGTTCATGGGAGGCGGAGGAAGGCTGGTGGCGGCGCAGGTGGTGCAGATACTGGTGGTGGCCGGGTGGGTTACGGCGACGATGGGACCGTTGTTTTATGGGCTGAACAAACTGAGGCTGTTGAGGATCTCCAAGGATGATGAGATGGCGGGTCTTGATTTGACGAGGCATGGGGGTTTTGCTTACCTGTACCATGACGAGGATGCTTCGGATAGGCCTGAGCAGTTTATGATGAGGAAGATTGAGCCTACGAATGGAAGTGGAACCAGTACCTCTACCAGTGAAGACAATAATAACGTACGGCCGTCGAATGTCTGATTTTTCATAGCTCTTTAATGTAACTTTCTTGGGAAAATGATAGTTAATTTCCTTACTTGGTTGCAAAAGTAGTGGTGAAGTGAATTCGGTGCGAAATGTATAAAAGGAAACTATATGATAAATATTAGAGAAAATCGTTGAAATTACTTTTAAAGTTTATAGCTCAAGATTTTTAACTCTTAATCTTGATTAATATACGCTTTTAATCATTAATATAGTTATGGATTATTATCACTCGTGTTCCTAAACTTTAAGATAATTCTCAGTTTGCTCTCTAAATTTTAAAAACTCTTATTTTTCCTCTATGAACTTTGAATTATTTTTACTTAACCCATTTTATTGTAATTTATGTTAAAAAGTGATAGAAAAAAAAAAAAGTGTAATGCAATCGCGTGATACTTCTATTTGAATTTCTATTAGAAACAAACATATAAAAACTACATGGCAACACTTAACCGCTCCTTTTTTCTGTCTGATTTTAATATAAATTGCAACATAAGAGGTTAAGTGAGAACAATTCAAAGTTTATGGGGCAAAATAAGAATTTTTCAAGTTCACGGGGTAAACTGAAAATGACTCTAAAGTTCAAGTGACATTAGTGATAATAATCGTATAATTATTTAACCAAAAAAGATATTAATTAAAAGTAAGCTGTACAAATCTAAACCCATACACTCTAAGAAATATTTGTCACCTTTTCTCAAAAAAAAAAAAAAAAAAATAGCCTCACATATATGGCATGTGACAGTTAATTAAGCAACGAAGTGGTTAACTGGTGTGTATTTGCATTTTGTATAAACTAATTCTCCATTTAGCATTAGTTTTGTTTATGTTGTGGCAAATAATGGTAGTTTGTAACTGGAGCGTTACAAATTTGATTTATTAGGCACCATAGCATTTTCTTTGTTTTTAGATAAGCTTCTTTTATTTTTTATTTTTATTATTATTATTATTATTTGACAATCACCATGGAGTTAATTTTGCAGTTAGGTCCCACAACAAAATTGGACCATACCTATTACCTAAATGCCAGTCGATTTAAATGATATGCATACCCTTTTGACTTTTTGCAAGAAAATGACGCTCACAAAAATACATACATATATGTATATAATAATATATACTTATTTATATACATATATATTTGAAGGTTTTTCTAAGAAAATAGTTTCGGCGTGCATCCAGTATAAATCAAGTTGGATTGGAAGAGAATAGTTGCATGTTTAAGTGTTATAATTTTATACTTAAGTTACGGTTTCAACACTATATGCACCCTATTGACTTTAGTATATCTAAAGAAAGAGATTCATCGACTTAATAAATAAAATGATAAAATGGATCTCTTTTACACGTCTCGTCCATTTTATTGATTCGAGTTTTTAATTTTAGATTTTTATAATTAAAAATTCTCAAAAAATATCACATTTAATTTTTTTTTACTACAGTTAAAAACTCTAAGAAAATGTCGCATCTCAAACGCTAGTACTAGTAGCCAGTATCACATTTATTTTTTTTACTACTTCGTTATGAATACTACACGTACAACTTACACCATTTTATTCTACACAAGGAATTGATTCCCGAATTAAAAAAAAAATTTATTATTAGCTCTCTCAAACATTTTGTGCAATCAGAGAATCAATTCTCAACTGAGAAAATTATATTTGCGGTTGAGAAGCACCCAATATATAGAGGCCCTAATAAAAACACTAGTACTAGTGGCCAACAAGCTATCTAGACAGCAGCAATTTGTTCTTGAAAAGAAAATCAGGAAAAAAAATAATAATAATAATTTTAGCACAGTAACAACACTGTAGTATTTTAGGGCTTGTTCTTTTGAGTGCAAAACTCAAAAAAAAAAAAAAAACTCGAGTTACAATTTTATTCAAGTTCATATTCTTTTAAGTTTAAACTCGAGTTTAAATTCGAGTTTAAACTTGAGTTTAGGACTAAAACTCGAGTTCAAGTTTCCCTTCAACTCGAGTTCAGAAACTCGAACTCAAATTAATAAACAGTATTTTTTCTATTCTTAAAAATGCTATAACTTTTTCGTTTTAATTCTGATTGAGATGATTTTTTTTTCTATACGTTGACAACGAAAAGACGAATAAAATCTGACCCATATACCCTATTAAAATTTTTCATTAGCATTGAGTTTTTATTAAAATACTATCTATATACAAATTTAAGTTTTGACTCACTCAAACACAAACTCAAAAAGATTCTTATCTCAAACCATAACTCAAATGTACACAACCAAACACAAACTCAAGT